CCCACACAACCAACCAGGGCCGGGGACAAACTGCAACCAAGGTACGTGCCCTTAGCGGGAACCGAACCCAGGTCTCTCAGGACCGCAGGCCGACGCTCTAACCGCTGAACCAAACCGGCCAGGGCTGTCTTTTCTTTTTTTAAATTTTATTTTAAATCCTCACCTGAGGATATTTTTCCATTTATCTTCAGATAGAGAATGAGGGAGGGAGAGAGAGACAGAGAGAAGCGTCGATGTGAGAGAGACACACCAATTGGTTGCCTCCCACATGACCCCGACCAGGGCCCGGGACAGAACCACAACCAAAGTGTGCCCTTGACTGGAATCGAACCTGCGACTGTTTGGTCCACGGGCCAATGCTCTAACTGCTGAGCCAACCTGGCCAGGGCCTCTTCGTTTTCTTTTTTTTTTTTCCTATATAATTTTTCTTTATTGATTTTTAGAGAGAAAGAAAGTGAGAGGGAGAGAGATACAAACATCGATGAGAGAGAACATCAGCTGACCACCTCCTACATGTTCCCCACTGGGGATCAGGCCCACAACGTGGGCATGTGCCCTGACCGGGAATCGAACCTGTGACCTCTTGATGCAAGGCTCAACGCTCAGCCACTGAGCCACACCAGCCGGGCATCTCTTCCTTTTCTTAAAAGGACACCAGACCTATCGGGTCAGGACCTTACCCTTATGACCACATTTAACCTTAATTATTTCCTAATGCCCCTGTCTCCAGATATAGTTACATTAGGGTTCAGGGCTTCAACATAGGAATTTGGGGGGACGCAACTGAGCCCATAGCACACATTTGCAGTTGCTCATACAGTTCACTCAAGTTGGCACGTGGCTAGTTCACCACCAAGGTCCTTACTCTGTAGAAATTACCCTGTAAAAATTATTTTATGACTTAAATCAAGATTGGGCAAACTTTATGTAAAGGACCAGAGAGTGAATATTTGGGGATTTAAAGGCCATGCAGTCTTCTGGTGATTGCTTAGCTCCACCATAGCGGCACCGACGTAACTGTAGACACGGCAGTATGCCAAAAAAACTGTATTTACAAAAACGGTGGCAGGCCAGATATGCCCACATCCCATAATTTGCCCATTCTGACTTAAATCATTTACCTACTCAATAAAGAGATTTAGAAAAATAAATAGCACAAAATATTTTTTGACTCCACAAACGAACCATGGTTGGTGTTTGAGAATGTCCTTGTCTTTCTCTAAAAATTTTTGCTCTTAATTGGGGGCTCTTTACTGTATTCTTGACTGTGCATTTTGTTTCTTTAGATAACAGACCCTCCTAAGAATGTTTCTGTTATTTAAATGGTGCTGGGTGGATTTATCATTTATCCAGTCTGTCCATAATTGTTGATCAGCATGGTTAGAGTTTTTCCTGTGTGCGTGTGTGTATGTATGTTTCTCTCAGTAATGAAACAGAACGGCTTTGTCTGGATTTTTCACTTCTTTGGGCAAGACTCCCAGTGGGGGAGGTGAGGGATGTGCTTGCTGAAAGGAGTCATGGTCCGCATTTTGTTCCAGGCTTGTCAGAGCTGTACCTCCGTCTGTCTGGCTGGCAGCTGGTGTCTGCTGTCTCTAGCAGCCTGGCCTTGCTGGGGGCTGCATGGGGCAGTAGTGGCCAAGCCATCCTGTTCCTTCTCCTCTGGGGTGTGTGCAGGGGGTGGAGCTGTGCTTCTCTCTGCTGTCACTTGAAATAGCACTTGTTCCTCCTGTATTCAGGGAGTATCATTGAACGCATTCTGCTGATTAATTAAACCGGCACAGGCAGCTAGGTCCTGGAACGGTGGTGCTGTCAAGGGCTCTTTGAGGCACACTTTACAGGCTGTCAGGCCCCTTTTGATGTTAGGCACCATCTGAGAGCCAGTTTCTGCTCATGAGTGTTGGGGGTGTCAAGAGGGGTGCCCACCCAGCCCCAGCCCAAAACGTGCTTCTGTACTCTGCCAGTATCATTGGTGATGGGGGAGGGGCCACAGGTGCTGGGCCCAGGATCTTGGGATGGGGTAAGCAGGTGGGGGCTGAACCCTCGGTGGACAGGCTTACCCCTTGGACAGGTGGCCCACCCCGAGGCAGGCAGGCAGCCTGGGGAGGGGAACCACTGAAAAGGCAGCTTGTCTCAGAACAGAACATCTGTGGGAACAGATCATCAGTAGGACCCAGGCCACAAACTCTGCATCATCTACCCCCACCCCTCAGACCCCTGGCTTTTGCTTTTACTCCTTCATCTGTCCCCAGATGCCCCACTCAGCACTATGGAACCACCAGCTACTGGGCCCTGGCTGATTTGAGCAGGACTGGCTGCTCAGGGTCCTCATTACTTAGTGGCACTCAGAGCTGGAGCCCCTGCCTCTTGGGGTTCTGGTGGCTGAGTGCTTTATGCTTCCAAAACAAAACCGAGGATCCTGGGGCATGTAGGACCCCTCAGACCTTCTCCCCCATTGGCGCTTGATTTCTCCATCAGAAACTAATGACATAGTCAAACTCCCTTGGAGGGTGCACTCTGTCTCTGTTGCGGTGCTGATGGGGGACTGCCAGGTGGAGCAGCTGGAATGAGAACAGCAGAAGCTGTCAGTTTCAGTCAGTCCAGCAGATTGTATGAAAACACCTGTCCCAGAAGGTTTGGGAGCCTGACAGAGGCTGGAGGGGGACGATCAGGGAAAACAATAGCGATTTGCTCTCAGACTCAGTTCCCTCCCTGGTCCGTGCTCTGAGGCTGCCCTGAGAACTCCCAGCACCAGTCTCTGGTTTCCTGCCTGCTCCAGCCCTTTTTAGGACAGCTCTGCAGGGTGTGGCGCTCTGTGCATGCTGCTGGGCTGAAGTGAAACAGCTGCATGTATGTTCCACTGTGCCTGTGGCCCCAGAACAGAAGATGGCCAGGTGGGGAGAGCGGTTGCGGGTCTGGTATGTTCAGCCCCTGAAAGTTCCTATTAGGAAGTTACCTTAGCAACTTCCTTACCCAAACTGTCGGGCTGAAACAGAATGACAGGACTGCAGTGCCTGCGCCTGAGCTCAGCTGCTCAGGCCACAGAGGTGACTGTCACCGAGTCCTAAATCCAATAGGCTGTCATTTCCCTCCCGTGGAACCCACAGGACCTGCCTTCTTTCTACTGTTTTCTTACCAGGTGCCCATGCTCCCCAAATCTCTCCCCCCAACCCATGACAAACCCCACCCACCCAGAACCGGCCTCAGTGGCTTTGTCCTGGTTGGGCAAGGGGGCCAGGCCCGGCCCCAGGCCTTTGGTGCAGTTGACTCCCTGGCTCGAGTCTGTGTGCCCCACTCCATGAGTGCACACAGGTGCTTTTTTCAGTTACTTAAAGGAAAAGCAATTGCAGAGCCGCTCGATATAAATCCCTTAAGCCACTGTTGATGGTGACTCAGAGGAGGCCACAGCCCGGCCGGGATTCTGAAACACGGGCACCATCTGTGGTCTCGCCACTCTGCAGCCAAATTACACCGCCAGCCTTTCTGTGTTGTGCAGATTTTCATTAAATGAATTGAGTTTGCTGGGAATCTCTTAGCCATAAATATTTCCTTCCTCTCAGTGTGGTTGTGTCATTGCTGTTCCCAAGTCCAAGCTCCCAGATCCAGGCTGGGAGTGGGGAGGTTGGGATGCTGGGGCTGCAGGAAAGTCCCAGGACATTGTTTGCCACCTCTCCTGCACCTCCACCCCCAGCGGCCTCCGATTTGGGGTCATACACTTTACTATTTCCAGAGAAAACTAAGGGAAGTTTGAAGGACTCGTGAGGGCAGCATACATAATTGCCTCGTTTAATTAAGTGTTTTCCTTTCTGTTTCCTTCATTTCCACTGAGAAAGCGGCAGTGACAGAGAAGGCTGTAAAAGGAGGGAGAGATGTGCATTTAAAATGGAAATGAGTTTTTAGCCACGGTTGGAAAGGGTTTCCAACCTGTTTATTTGACAGGGAGGCAGGTAGAGTGGCCACGAGAGTTCCCAGCTTTTGGGGGCTGCAGTGCAGGTGTCCCTGAGGGGCAGGTACGCCCAGGACTCCTGTCACAGTTCTCAACACAGGCATGTCCACAGGTATGTGTTTTCCCAGAAGGAAGCCACAACAGTGCCTGCTTAAGAGGGGGCAAGTGCAGTACCCCAGGTACCTCTTCCAGAAGTCTACCACCCATTCCAGGGGCTGCTCCATCCTTTGGAGCCTAGACCAGAAGCCAGCAAACTACAGCCTGTGTCAAATCTGACCCCGCCTCTTTTTGAAAATAAAATGTTATTGGTATGTAACCATGCTCATTAGTTTATATAGTATCTATGATGATTCCCAGCAACAGTGCAGAGTTTGGAGGTTGTGACAGACCATGTAGCCCACAAAGATGAAAAGACTTGCTTGGCCCTTTATGGAGGCTGCCAACCCTGCCCTAGATTAGAAATACTCTGTTTCTCCCTCCATCTCACAGTAAGATGCTTTTTGGTCTGTCTTGGCCTTATCCACAGGTAAGCGGGAGGCCAGGGCCACCTGGGTTCTTCTTGCTGACTGAGGGCTCCCTCTCAGATTCTGGGATTCTTGCCTGGTTTCTCTGGCCCACAACTGGTATCCCCCAGGTGTCAGGTGTCACCAGGATAAGTGTGGTATGGTACCTCCTGCACATGCCCAGCCCTGGGGACCATGACACTAGAACATGGAGGGAGAGGCTCCGAGAACATGTAATTTGTTAGAGGGGGTGGTCTTCAGAGCAGGAGAGGGCCCCTGTGTGAGCCTATCCTCATCACATGTGTGCCCCTTGCTTGAAGCTTCTGGACACAGGGATCCTCCCGTTCAGGTCAGTGTCTGCTCCGGGCTGCCTGGCACTTGTTCCTTGGCACCATGGACCAGAGACTCCTATTTTGGTGTGTGGGGGGTACAGCTTGGAAAAGGACATTCAGCAGCCTCACCTTCGCCTTTGATGCCATTTCCTGTCTCATGATGAGTAATGGTGTGGGATGGCGAACCTTGGGCTCACAGGGTCTCTCTCCTGCCTCCTGCAGTGCACATGCCGGAAGGACATGGTCAAGATCTCCATGGATGTCTTCGTGCGCATCCTGCAGCCAGAGCGCTATGAGCTGTGGAAGCAAGGCAAGGACCTCACGGTGCTCGACCACACCAGGCCCACGGCCCTCAGCAGCCCTGAGCTCAGCACCTGGAGCACCTCCCGGGCCTCACTCAAGGCCAAGCTCCTCCGAAGGTGAGTTGCCAAGGAAATGCCCTGTGCCTGGCTCTGCTGGTGACCATAAGTGACCCTGCCCCAGCCACTCCCTGCTGGCAGGTGACTACAGGCTGTCCCCTCCCGCTCTCCCTCTTTTCCTTTCCTCTCCTCCTCTTCTGTTTCTTGCTGCTTCTGAGTCAGAGTGTGTTTCTCAGCGCTGACTTTCTTGTGTGTGCAGTTGGTAAGCCTTGCAGCAGGCAGTGTCTGTGTTGTTAGACTCAGTTTCCCTCCTGTTCCTTGTCCACCAGCTCCTGGGAGGCTGACCCTTTGATCTTCCAGCCATCTGGTTTCTTCTCTGAGACGGCACATGCTGTCCCTCTTCCTCTTCTGCTTGTGACCTTAGGTGAGAGAGCCCCATGTCTTTGTGTTGGGGCTGCTGGGCCCCTTCTTGGCTCTGAGTGATGGCAGGTACCGTGATGGAGTCATGGGGCACAGGGGTCCAGTGTTTGGTCTTTGTGGCCCGTTGGCCCCTGCCATTTTGTGTTTTGGTTGCTCATTTTGGCTTTTCTGATAATGTGCTGCTCAGATTCACAGTCATGGAGGTCACTGAGTGAGTTGTCTCCCCCCAGGGACATCCTTTGCCACCCCCATTCCATCTCAGGGAGCCCCCTCCTGGCCCCTGCCTTTCACGACAGCGTGGTGGTTGCCCAACCCTCGTGCCTGACATCCAGTGTAGGAGGAGGAGATGAAGTGATTGCACCCTCTTGGCATCAGCACTTGGCCATGGGGACATGGGTGGCAGGTCAGGAGGAGGAGGAAATCGACTTCCTGCCAGGAGTGAGATAGCAGTGAGCACTGTTCCTGGCGTCATGTTGCAGCCCCAGAAGCGTCGGTCCCATTTTGCTCTCTTCTCTGGGAAACGTCCAGACTTTCAGGGCTCTGAGATGCTCAGACAGTTCCAAAAGACTCATTTTTGGTGCCCAAAGAATGCTCAGCAAGTCCTCGCTGGGCCCCGGCTGTGCTCTGTGGCAGGGAGTCCCAGCTCAGCGGAGCCTGGCCGGCATTCCTGTGAAGGGCCGGTTTGGATGTTTTCAGCTTCGCTGGCCAGTCTCTCTCACAACCACTCAACTCCATGAAGGCTACCACAGACAGCAGACATTCCATAAACAATGAACGTAGTGTGCCTCAACAAAACTTTATTTGTGGACACTGAAATTGAAATGTTATATCATTTTCACATGTCACAAAGTATTATTATTATTTTAATTTTTGAACCACTTAAAAATGGAAACAACTTTCTGAGCTGGTGAGCCACACTGAAACAGGCAGTGGTGGGTCTGGGCCTTGGACAGGGTTTTCCATCTGCAGCCTCTTGGTCACTTCTGGCTTCTTTTGTTCCTCCTGATGATGGACAGCTGGCCTTAGGGACTGGCCATTGAGTGGGTGGGGGATCAGGCAGTTCCTGTGGCTGTGCCCGGTTGTTGACACCCCCACACTGCACAAACACCCTTGGAAGTCTTTCTGGGAAAAATCATGCTGGCCAAGTGGTCCTGCCTGGTCAAGAACCTTCTTCCCCGACGGGGCTGTTCTAATTTTCAACGCATTGGTCTGTGAATCCAGAATCTTGGGCAGTCCTGGCTTCACCCACATGTTTCCCCCACCCCTTGGCCTCTCTCTTTGAGAATGTTCCATCAGCCCAGAATGCTTTCGCGTCTGTTCCTGACAGCTCGCCTGAAGGTGAGTCTCTCTTTTCTGATTTCTTTTGTTGTCTGTCCTTTTGATTCCCGCTCTCCTGTGTGTTCTCCTGAAAAGTGACTTCTTGGTGAGACCAATCTGTGCTGCTTCTGATCCTTCCTAGCAGGATGAGCTTGCTGAGCAGAGCCCGATGCAGCATTTGCATAATGGCTAATTGATTGTGGCTCAGTCTAATTGGTCAACAGAGCAGACTGCCAGTAAATATGCGCACACTCCAGAAATTGATGGGATTAGAGGACCAGGGGCCCCGCCAGCTGTGCTTCCCTTAGCCAGAACCTTCTGTGTGCACAGGATGCTTCCCACAGGCCCTCTCCCTGCCTGCTGCGCCCTCGCACTCCCCTGGCCAGCCCTCAGTGGAGGGCTCCTGGCCCGTTTGTCACGCTCTGTTCTTTTCTGGAACGTTCCTCTCTTGCCTTGGCCTTCCTTTGCCTCCAACCTGGGGAGCTGTAATATTCCGACAGTGGATTGAATAACAAATTAAGTCTTGTTCCCAAGGATATAATTTTCTTTAAAGCCTTCAGTATGTAAAATAAGACTGATTCTCTTTTTTTTAAGTCACGGAGGGGCTTTCTCTGAAAAGGTTGATTGGGGGACTGACGTTTCAAAGCCCAAGACTGCTGCCCCCTCCACCTGAGAGTCAGTGACTCAGAATTGCCTGTACCTTTTCTTGTGGCTCTGTGTCCATGATACATGGCCATCCTGCCCCTGCCCAGCTGTGCCTTGTCTCCACTGAGGTTGTGCTCCCCTGAGCCTCAGAGAATTTGTTTTGAGGGAAGAGTGGCTTGGGCTAGACAGGGAGAGAGGCAAATGTGGCTTCTAGACCAGGGTTGTATGTCCCCCCCCACTGTCCCCTGTGCCCCTACACTGTGGATACTTGGGCTGGTCATTCCCTATGGGGGTCCATCCAGGCACTGTGGGGTGTTGAGCAGTATTCCTGCCCCCTCCTAGTCAGTGCCAGGAGCTCCCTCAGTCCTAATGACCACAAATGTCCCCAGCCACTACCCAGTGTTCCTGATTGGGAACTCCTGCCCTAGACAGAGGGTGTGGCATTACAGTGGACGCCATGTCCATCCACACTGCCCCCGCTCTCCCACTCTCCATGTTCCCCTGCAGCCTCACCTTGTCCTTTGGCTCTGTAACTTCTCCCCGATCCCTGCTCAGATTGACTTAGCCAGGTCCCAGGCCAGCCCCACACAGGGCCCAGCCTTCCTGACAACCCGCACACTGTACCACCTCAGAGCAGAGGCCAGGCATTAGCTTCTCCAAGAGAATGATCTTCCTGGTCCTTGTCGCCCTCCCGTGGATTCACCTTCCATGCCTAAATCTCAAAACTGAGCCTCCCGCATAACAAACAGGGCACAAAGCTGGGACTTCTTGCTCCTTGCTGTATGGCCTCTTCAGCCCTCACCACCAGGTGGGACCCCTGCTTTGCTGGACAGGCCACCATAGAGTCTGGCACCTCAGCCAGGCCGGGTCTCTGCCAGGCTCCTGACCTCCCGTTCCTGCCTACAGCCCTTCTCCACGCACAGACTATCTTCCTCTTGCCTCCTTGTTACTTTCGATGAGAATGTCGAGAAACGCAGCCTATGGACCACATGTTGCTGCAGGTGTGCGCTCAGCTTGCCACACACACACTTGCAGAACATCTGAGCTGCCACCAGCATGCTCGTACAGAGAGGAGATGTGCTTCCTCCCTGGGGCCCACTGGTTCTGTCCCACCCCAGCCCCTGCTGGCTCTACTGGCTGTGACCTCTAGCTGCCCACGGTGGAGGCCATCAGCTGAGTGTGGCCAAGAGCCCTCCGGTCCTGCTCGTCCACCTGCACCACCTCTGCCACCACCCTTGGATCACCATGGAAACCAGGAGACAGGAGCCGCTTCAGCGCCCCCTTGGATGCCTCGCCCTGACACTGAACACTTCAAGCCTCTGACCCCACTCCCTCCATGGGTGCCCTGGCCCTGCCATGCTCCTGAGCCCTTCCCCACAGACACAACTTCTAGCCTCTAAGGGACTGGCCCTGTGACCCCTGGGGCCTGCCAGGCCCTGAAGGAGCTTGTTGCCCTGGCGACTTACTGAATGTTTCCTAAATTATTCTTCCCCAGAACACCCTTGGCAATTTCTCAAAGCAAAGCCTCTAAAAGCCACACATCCACCGTCTGTGTGGGCGGGAGTGTTAGGAGGAAAGGGGGCACATGTCCTGGGGCCAGGTGAAGGGGAAAAGGGCCCTGGGGTACACAGCTCACAGCCCCTTGCATCTTGACCCAGGGGCTTCCCTGGCACCAGCTACCTTGGCTGCCTAAAATTCCCCCTGTGAAGTCAGAAGTCCTGGGTAAAAGTTGGTCCTGTGAGAGTTGACAGCCCTGCCTTAGGATACAGAGGGACTGTGTACTCTGGGCCCCTCAGTGACCGAGCCTGGAGCCACTCTGAGCCCACTCATAGGGTGGAGGCTCATGGGGAGCCCCCACTTTGCCTCTCCTGCCATGTGGCGTCTAAGGACACCTGCTTCCATCTTGGAAATATTAGTATAGGTATATGGACTCAGTTCTAATATTTGATTTGTATAAACTTAACTAAGTGATATCCAGTTAAAACTGAGGAGTAAAGTGCGTGTTTATTTCCATCCTCCCCCGAAATGCCACTAAAATGACCGTAAAGGAATGACAAAGAATGGGAGAGGAGACCGTGACAGCTGAGCAGCGGCAGCAAACTTGGGAAAGAAGGAAAGGATGGACAGGTGATACCTGACTTTGCAGCACAGAGAACTCAGTCCAAGGGCTCTCAGACGGGTGTGGCTCATTTGTGCTGAGGAACTTTGGAAAGGCATAGGATTCCGAGATACGGGCACCTCCTGGGACAGGGCCAAGGTGGGCTGAAGGCAGGTGTGTAAGGAATTGCTGGGCTTGGGGCACCCCCATCCAACCCTATTTCCCAGCAGAGGACATTAACCCTGCTGCCTGGTGAGGTAAAACTGGGTGGCCCTGGGCCGGGGGGAGGGGCCTTCCTGAGGGTGAGGTGTGGAAGCCTGGCTGCCAGCCCCACATGCCCCGAACCCCGAGGCCAGAGACTGTAAGGGCCCTTCCCGGGCCCACCAGAGCAAAGCTACAGATTCTGATATAGGGGGTCCCCCGTGAAGTGACAGGGCTCCTGCTCCCTCCGTCCCTTTCAGCAATTCCTGCTCACACACATATAGCTGCCAACGACCTTAGTCCCTCACACAACTCAGCCAGGGGCCCCTAAACCTTTGAGGAAACTCTCAGCAGAAGACAGAGAGCGTCTCAAACAAAAAGGAAAACAGCACTCCCTGGAAAGAGAGAGGAGGCAAGGAGCAGAAGAAACCTCACATGTCCTCCTCAGAGATGGGTGGCTGTGTGTTTATGACAGAAGCACCCGTCGCTATAAAAAGAAAAATTTAGGAAAGAGATGGCTCTTGGATGCTAAAATGAGAGCAAAGAAAACGAAAGGGACGGGTTGGGAGATAACTTGAGAAACCTCCTAGAGGGCAGGACAGAAAGGTCAGAGGCTCAATCGAGGAACTCCAGCTTCTCCTAGGAGTTTTAGGAAAAGGGAGAAGAGCATTTTTCAGGAACCAAAGACGTATGTTTTCAGATTAATGAGTCTGGCCCAGGGGATGAAAATTATGCACACCTCGGAGCATCACAACTCTTGGGTTAAACAGAAGGTCCCCCGAGCTTCTGGAATGAATAAACATGTCAACATAAAGCGTCCTTCACAGTGACCCTTTATATTGGCATTGAACTTAGCAATCATAGTGCTACGAGCTAACAGACAAAAGTCAGAAGAACCCTGGCCGGTTTGGCTCAGTGGTTAGAGTGTTGGCCTGTGGACCAATGCGTCTGGGGTTCGATTCCGGTCAGGGGCACATACCTCGGTTGCGGTTCGTCCCTGGCCCTGGTCAGGTCGTGTTGGAGGCAACCAGCCAATGTGTGTTTCTTGTGTTGATATTTCTCTCTCTTCCCTTCTTCCCACTCTGTCTGATGATAGATGGAGAAGTAGTCTTGGGTGAGGATTAAAAAAAAAAGAAGAAGAGAAATAATTAATTTTTAGCCCAGAAGTATGTACCTAGTTAAATTACCAACTAAATGTGCAAGAGGAATGAGAATCTTTAGACATGCAGAATTCCAGCTTTCTCTTCCTTTCTGAGGAAGCTACTAGAGGGTGTGTTCTAGCTAAACAATGGCGTCAGCCAGGAAAAAAGAGTCAAGGAAACCAAATTCAGCCCAGGAGAATCCAAACCCACTTCAAGATAAGGATGCCATGAGGAGTATGTGACACCCTGTGTAGGAGACCACGCTGGAGCTTGGCGATAACCAGGAAAGCTGAGCATCTGAGAGAAGACCATTGCTGACTGCAGGAAGAGCAGACAGACTGCAGAGCAAGTGGCGTGGATGACCAGCATTTGCAGTCAGAAGAATATAAAGGTGGAGTTTCACATCTGAAGATGGTGGCAGATTTGAGCAGAGAAGCTGGTGGGTGTGGAAGCAGGAAGCATGGTCACACCCTGAGTGGTAACTAAGTGCAGCAAAGGAAGCCATGACCCCCCCAAAAAAAGGAAGCAGCATGAGGAAACACATAGAAATAACTAAGAGAAGAAACATCTAAAAGAGGAAGGAGCGGCCCAGGGGATGCTGTTAGGGTCAGAATATGAGTAGGATGTGCCTGGTGGGTGCCTCTCCCCCCAGCTCTGTGGGAGATTGGCCAGAGTCTTCCTGTGTTAATCTGCCATCTTATGTATTTTTTGCTTGCTGATGTTCAACTTGCCTTCTCCCTGCAGTAGGGTGTGGCCCTTTGCCTAAGTCTATCCACCTAGTTCCAACCATTCTGGGGGTCTCTGCACTGGGGAGGAGCGGTGGTTCTGGGGATTTGGCACTGGAGCTGGGGGGCCCCAGAGCTCTGAGGCCAGTGGAGTGTAGGGGGATGAGGAAGGTCTGGGCTCTCTGGGACAGATAGGGCCCAGTGGGGACAACCCTGGTTAGCCCTGGCAGCAGTTGGGCAGGGTCAGAAGTGGCCTCCAGGGCCAGTTTGGGGTCGGGTGAGAGGAGGGTGAGAGAGGGGACTGAGGGGCTGGGCAGCTACAGGAAACCAAGGCCAGGTGAGTTGGTAGTAGGACGACACCCCTCTATTGGATGCTGCCTAGGGCCAGCGTGGGGGTTCACTTTGGGCACTGAGCCCTGCAGCCCCACAGCCTTTCCAGACTTGGAGAAAAGTCCCTCCTCAGGTAAAAGCTGGTGACGAAAGCCAGCTGCATCTACTGCCAGGTCCTGGGGTTTTCTGCCCGCCAGTCTCTGTGGGGCCAGTCCTGGCATTTCCCAACCGTACCCTGTGTGAATTTGCTGGTGGCTCTGCTGTGGTGGAGAGCATCTCTGGCTCCCATGTCCCCTCCCGCCCTCACCCTGCCCCCTTCGCAGTGACCCTGCACGCCATGCTATGTGTGATGCCATGCCTCTGCCCGTGTTGCTCAACCCCTCCCCACCCCCCGCCGAATGCTCCCTGCTTTTCGCCTTTGGTCATGGGGTGATTCATGCTGCAAACATCAAATGGGGCTTGTCACGTGCCCCCTGGGCTCGGGAGACAGAGCAGCAAAGACCAGGGCCCTTGAATTAGGCAGCCAAGCCATAAGAATGACCAGCAGAGATCAGTGTTAGGGGACAGTTAGGAGAGGGTGCCCCAGAAGCCAGCATGGAGAGTAGGATGGGCTGGGAGGCAGCAAGGATGCTGTCAGGTCCACTGCTGTAGGCACCACCAGGTGGGAGGTGGGGGTCCTGGCCTCAGGAGCCCTCGGGCCTCCCTGGGCTCCCATTCCTAGTCAGGTAGGCTTGCTTCTCCTTGGTGAATGTCAGTCCTTGGAGGTGTGGCTGCCACAAGGACCCCCGTAAGGTCTCCATGTCCAGGTCTGACCCCTCGGGGCCGCATGGAGAATTGGTGGACGGAGGGAAGCCGCAGCCAGCACCTCTCTCGGAAACATTGACATTCTCAGGCTGCTGACTAGGTAGTGGGGGCTGGTCGTGAGGCCTGGAACCTGCAGCCATGTGGGAGGGCATCATCCCTATTCCCTGGAGGGCGTTAGTGCGCTGCCCAAGGCTGGACCTCTCCACACACCTGCCTCTGCCTGAGCTCCTGGGGTAACACACCCCTCTTGTCAGTAACACACCGCTCTGTCCCCTCCCTGGAAGGCTCCAGGACTTTCTTTCCCAGAACCCCTGTAGGGGTGCCCTGGCCACTAATCTGCAGGCCCACCCCTTTTGTTGCTTTCTTTCTTCCTTTTTAATCCTAATTCCGCCTTGTTTTCACTAAGAAGCCATACCTAAGCCTCAGCTTGAATTCTCACTGAGGGCTGAGGTTTGCCCCTGCTCTCCCCAGGGCTGTGACACCCTGAGCGGAGGCTGGATGTGGGGATCCCTCTGGCCCGGGCCCCGCCCTGGAGGCTGGGGACCGGGTGGAGGGCCTGCGCAGGTCGTCCCTGGGCGTGGAGCCTGAGTGGAGGCAAACGGGGAGCCGGACAGAAGCAGGTGCCCACATCGAGGCCCTTAGATGAGGCGTCTTGGGGAGTTAATACCAGTCCTAGAGAAAAACGCCCTGACATTTACATTCTAGACAAATTAGTCTGAAAGAAAGCAGACACTGGAAAAAGACTGAGGAGGAGAGGAAACCAAATCTAGAGAGGAAGAAAGAGCAGAGCAAAAAGCCGGGCCTGTCGTAAGTGCACCTTTTGTCTCGTTTGTTGTCTAGGCATTTTCCACCCGCTGCTGTTTCCATCGTGCTCACTCCCTGTCCCCTGTCCCCCCACCCCCCCACAACACATGCACACACACACGGGCTCCTGGAGCCCGGGGTTTGTCCAGTCATCCCATCTCCAGTTGTCATTGGCACTCGCTTTGACACGACCCCCACCATCCCTATTGCCCTCCCCTCACAGGCCTCTCTCCCTCCACCACCCCTCCCCTGCCCCCTGGAGCCACCTCCTGGGGGCCCTCTGTCTCCTGATCCTGGTTGTGGGGGCTCTGTTCTGCCAAGTACAGACCTGGGGCTTCTCCCCTCTGCTGTTTCACCTCCTGTCTAATGACTTTCCCTCTCCAGGTCTCATCGGAAACGCAGTCAGCCCAAGAAGCCCAAGCCAGAAGACCCCAAGTTGCCAGGGGAGGGGGCAGCTGGGGCAGCCCTTCCGGAGGAGACCAGCGGTAGTGCGAAGGAGGAGGCTGCACAGGAGGCTGACCCAGAGGACGAGGAGGAGGATCCCCAGCTGCCGCCGCAGGGCCGGGAGGTGGAGGGCACAGAAGGTCAGTTACAGTTGAGGGGACAGGCCAGGCCTGGTGCCCACGCTGGCTCCTTCCTGGCCCAGCAGTGGAAAGAGCCAGCGTTCACTGTGGCCACCGAGTCTCTGCTCTTTAAGAATCCACTTCATATGATTCCTGGCTGGATGAGGCATTTCATAAAACATGTACATTCCAGGGTGCTGTGCAAAGTCCCCCTTCTCCCACAAGCGGGAGAGAGGTGGTCTGTTTGTTTGGGCTATTATCACAGAACACCACAGACTGGGCGGCTCAAAAACAACAGACACTTGTTTCTCGTAGTTCTAGAGGCTGGGAATTGAGATCGGGGTGCATTGTGGCCGGGGCTGGCGAGGGCCCTCTTCCAGGTTACAGATGGCTGCCCTCTTGCCGCGGCCGGTGTGGAGGGCCTGGCTCTGCGGCCTCTGCTGTCAGGGCACTGACCCAGTTAACGAGGGACCCAGTTACCTCCCGCAGGCCTGCCTCCTGCGACCATCACGTTGGGGGGTAGGTTTCAACATAGTGCATTTTGAGGGGATGCAAACATTTAGCCACAGCAGAGGTGTGATCCAAATGAGGACAGCCTGCTTTTTGTGGCCAGACTTTGTTGAGCTGTGCCAGGGTTGGGGTAGGAGTATCTCAGAAACATGTCCTTCACACAGCACAGGGTCCCAAAGCCATGACATATTAACATGTGAGTGTTTTAAAGGTTCCCACTCCCGTGTTTTACAGTGTTTCCTTTTCTTCTTTATGACTGGTTTTATTTTTCTAATTTACAGCTTCAGCTACTCCCACATTTGTACATAGCAGCTTCACCCCCCACCCCCAGGATAGAGGAGGGGCCCCCTACTCTCTGGTCCTTTCTAGGCACCAGGCAATAATAGGGGCTGGCAGTGGTACTTCAGGCCCTAGTCCCAGGCCATAGCTCCCCAGAGCCTTCTTGCTTGGTTCCTCAGTTTCCCTCTTTGTGGCTGTGTCTTTGAGTATGTGAGCTCAGCATGGCCCTGCCTGCTTCAGAGTATGCTCATCAGGATACAACATCCGAGGTGACTCTCTGTGGGTCAGTCTGAGACAGGCACATGTACCTGACATACCCATAGGCTGCTGCTGGGGTTCCCAGTTAGGGAGTGATTGTGTGCCCTGGCTGGCAGGGTGAGTATCCCTGAGGAGGGCCCTCAGGCACTGATGAGGGGAAGAGCGGAGAGTTTCTGGGTATATTGCACTCTGGCGCACTCCCAGACGACCCAACACACCCAGGGGTCCCGAAGGCAAGATGGGGAGACAAGGCGCCTGCTTGGAGAAGAAGCATGCACTGGCAACATCTGGACGTAGACACGATCTCCTGCGTAGACAGGGGCGTTAGGACTGAGCCAAGTCACTCCGAGATCTAGCAGAGTGGCAGCGTGAGCCCCACACAGAAGCCAGGTCTCATTCCCACAGGCCAGCCAACAGCTGGCATCATTATCTGGAGGCTGCTTACAATAAAAGCAGCCAGAGAGTAAGCACCTTGGAACAAAGCTAACAAAAAATAAGACCTTTATGGAGAAAATTAGACACATTTTTGAAAAGCAAGGAAGAATTGCTAAATAAATGGAGGAACCATGTGTGTTGGGAGAACTCCCCCATGTGAAAGTACAGTTTCTCCCACACTCTCTCGGGGTTCTCCAGTTCCTTGCAGGATCCCAGCAGGGTGTGGGGTGTTGATCCAAATCTAGTTGGAGGGAGAGAGGGAGGAGAAGAGAGGTCAAGGGAGGTCTGGACACTGGCCGGCAGCTCACAGGGCAGGAGTGAGAACACCCTGCACTGCAGGTGGGAGAAGTGAAGGTCACCGTTCTGTGCCCAGGGGACTCGCAGATGTAGCCTTGAGTGTCGCAGGGAGCACATATATACAATGTCTCATTTACTTAGAGTGCAGAAAACTCGCCAAGCTAGATGGTGGATTATTGAGGGAGCGTTTGAGTCTGCTTGGGCTGCCTAACCAAGCACCCAGATGAGGCTATGGGGGCTTCAGAAACGGGGTCTCGTCTCACTGGTCTGGAGACCAGGTGTCCACAACCAAGGTGTCGGCAGAACAGGTTCCTCCTGAGGCTTGTAGATGTGTCTTCGCATTCACACTGCATTCTCCCTGGGCCAGTGTCTCTGTCCTAATGTCCCCCTTTCATAAGGACACCAGCCACATTGGTTTAGGGCCACCCTGATGACCTCATCTGAACTCATGACAACTGCAGTGACTCTTTCTAAATAAGGCCACAGTCTGAGGCACAGGGGGAAGGACTTCAGCATAGGAATTGGGGGCATGGAGACACAATTCAGCCCATAACAGAATACACACACTAAAACCAAGAGAGAGGAAGCCATGGGTTACTCCTGGGGACTCCCAGAGTCGGGGTAGGGAAGGGCTGGGAGGGGCACCTGGTGCTCACATGCTCGGTCCTTCAGGCCCTGCACTGGCATTGTGTGCTCCAGGAGGTAAGAATTTGCAAGAAGTACGAACAAATCTGCACGTTCTGTAAGGCAGTTGGGTGGTCGAGCTTGGTTTGTAATGGTTAATGACGAGCTCTCCGAGGTTGGCCTCTACCCCAGGGCTGCACGTGCAGGCCGGGGGCTGCTTGCCTAGCTTGCCACCCAAACAGAAGGGTCTGTGTCCCATGAGAGTAAGACGTGTGCTAGACAAAGCTGCAAGCCATGCAGAGGGGGACACGGAGGACACATGCTCTCTTCACCAGCTGTCTGGCATCTGCACTCCCCTTCCCCTTCCCCTTCAAAAGTCTCATCCTACACCCCTGGCACTTTTCCCAAAGGGCTTCAGGGTCTGCATTCCAGTGATGGTCAGTGTCATGTATGTGCCATGTGGCAGGGCCAGGTGCAGTCCTCCGAGGCTGTGGCTTCCATGAGCTTCCAGTGGCACATGGACCCCAGGAAGGATGGGGCCATTTCCCGGGTGGTATGTCTGTTCAGGACTGGCAGTGGTCCCCAACTTCAGATACTCTGTCCCTGTCCCATGACAGAGCCCCATTCTCAAGAAGGAGGAGTTGGGTTGTGTGTGTGGGTTCTTTCTCTAGAAAGGAAGTGGTCCCTTTGGGGCGCTAGATGTGGCTGCCACCACCAGAGAGCCCTTGCCAAGGTCAGGAACATCCTGGGAGCCATCTCTTGAGCCCTTGTGCAAAGACAACTCTGAACACATCAAATAAGTGTTTGCAGTCAGGGGTGACAGCAAACACATGTCGGGAATGAGTGGGTTTTAAAGTGGCTTCCAGACTTCCTTTAATACCAGCTTAATATCCCTAAAAACTCTGAGTGCTAAGGATAATATCAGGTGTGAGCAACAGTGTTGTGTTTGCAGAGGGAGGCCATTGCTGTCACTCACAGACTGGACATTCTGACAAGGGTCCTGGTGCTGGGGGGTCAGTAGCAGGAAGCCCCCTGGGGATGGGTGGGGCCCTGGGCTGGCAGATGGAGAGCGCTGCTGCCCTGGGATTGACCAGCAGCCTCCCTCTCCCCTCCTCCTCGTGTCCATCCTGGTTTCCTGGGAAAGCAGAGGCTCCTTCCTCCTGCCTGGCCTAGGCCATCACACAGTGCTCTTACCCACCTGTGGCTGGGCACGGCCGCTGTCCTTTGTCACAGCTTAGGAGATGGGGCAGCAGGGGCAGTGCCAGCACCCAGGAAGGTCCCACCACAGTGCTGGACTGCTCCCAGGTAGAGCATGCAGCCAGAGGGATCCCACCAAGCCCCCCACCGAGACCCCCCAGGGCCTTGAGGAGATGGGAGGAGTGTGAGCCGTCGGCAGGTCTTGGTCATGGAGCAGCACTGGGTTTCAGGAGGGGCCTGACAGCTTGTAATTGGCTTTAGGACAGGACAGCAAAGGCTGCTGTGCCCAACAGGGAACAGATGGGCTGGGCCTTTATGAGGGGACAGCGAGTTTCACTCAGACACATCCTGCCATGCAGGACATACCCCAGCGTAGTCCATCCAGGCCTCGCATGCTGTCAGGGTGCGCCTGGCCTCGGGCTCTGCGTGGGAAGAATGCAGAGTTGGCAGGAGTGGCCCAGGCCATGGAGACGGAGACCGTCTTGCCCAGGCTGGACAGGAGTGGGGGGCGGTATGGGGTGTCGTGTCCCTGAACCAGAGAGCAGTCAGAAGGCCACCACCCCTTTCTGTGGGCAATATACAGCAGAGGTTGAGCTCAGTATCACAGATCTACCAGGTGTTCTCTGTGCATCCCCCGCAACCCCCCCCCCTCCCCGCAATGAACTTTGGTGCTGTAGAGAAGGTATGGAAACCCCAAGGAACCAGGCCAATAAGATCCAATGGTGGGGTGGTCTTGGCATCCTCCCCACTTCTAAAAATAGTACTAGAAGGGCCTCAGCTTGTCTGCTGTTGGGGGAGGTCTCTGCTTTCTGCCTGCCTGTGTCCTGAACCCCAGGAAGTGGGAGGCCTCACCTGCTGGGGAGGGACTGGCTGGGATCCTAAGCCCCCCCCCCTTTTTTTTGCTTTGACCCTAAGCCCTTTTGATACGATGTCCCTGCTCCATTTCGAGGCTGCCTCAGGCCCTGGCAGGCAGGGGGCTTGCTGAGGTCTGACAGTGTGGCCCCTGATAGGGGACTGCCTGGGTGGGGGGGAGAGTCCTGTGGTGAGGACAGAGCCCTGAGCCATTAGGTGTCCTTCCTGACCTTGGGCTTGTCCCCTAAGCCCTCTGGGTGTTTGTCCCCCTCGGCTTCCCAGAGCCTGGGAGGCATGAGAAAAAGGCCGGAACTTGTCCCTTTTTGACAGCAGAGTCTCTAACGCAGAGTAAATTGGACCCATCATCCTCAGGATGACAGACAGTGCGATTTCCATTCAGTAGTTTGCACTATGAGAGAGGAAGAAATAAGGAATGTCCGTAGAGAACAGAACGTTCCTCCGAAAATGCCTTTCACACAAACAGGACGGTGGCTCGAGGGCCCTTCTGTGCTGGTTCTGTAAATGAGCCCCACCACTGCCCTGGCCACTGACTTCCTGGGGCCCTCAGCCACCTCCCGGTCACCTGCTGGTGCCATGCTGCTGTACCGAGCGGTGTTCCATGTCTCCCCCTCCTCGTCTTTGGATGGGAAAGGGACCCTTTGTTGTGGGGAGTCATCTAACCTCCACTTCTGGGCGGAGGGAGCATCTGTTATTTGCTTTCCTTGGCCAGATAACTTAACCAGTCTCATGAGGAGCTGGCAGGAGAGGGCCTGGGGAGTGGTTAAGGCGCCTCTAGGTGGGGCAAAGGTGAGAGAAGAATCCTTGGTGCCTCCAGGAGGCTCAGGGCCAGAGGGCCAGGGGCCAGGGGCCAGGGTGGGGAGTGAGTGTTCCGTCACCTTCTGGCTGATGGAGTCGCTCCCAAAAAACACAGGGTCTGCTTGCCAAGGACACCATGGGCTGTCCCAGCAGCCAGTGCAGGGCTGCAGCTGCACATGGAGGAGAGCAGGAGTGGGGATGGGGGAGGGGGAGGCGGACTGGGGCACCTCTTGTGGTTCCTGAGGCCTGTCTCAAAGCCTCTTCAGCGCCCTCACTGGGGGGTAAGAGGGGAGATTCAGCTCCTCCCAGTGCCCTGGGCTGGGCATCTGCCCGCAGGGAGGTTCCTTGCTTGATCCCTTCTTGGAGTCAGTGCAAATCAGGGGTTAAGTGACAAGCCCTCCCCAAGGTCATCAGCACTTGTTCTGCCATCTTTGGCTGAGGGACAGGGGTGGCATATGGATGGGTTTTTATAGCAAGAGGTAAAAACGTGGATGCTGTGTTGCAAACCAGAACACGTGCCACTTCCCGTTGTCACCAGTTTCACGTGGAGAGGGATGGATCCTTGCCCTTCATTTGCCCTATGTTCCCAGCCCGAGACTGTCACACCCAGGTACCTCTGGGCCTCACGAGCCCTGTCAGCAGCACAACCACTCGTCCCAGTTGTTCAAGACCCCTAGGTCCCAGGCACCCAGAATAGTTGGTGCCCTGGTTACCAGCCAGTGCTTCTCCTCCTATGATGCCCTGAACCCCTGGGAACCTGGGACACCTGGCTGAGCTATGTGCCCATTCTCCAAGCAGGGCAGGCAAGGCCCGAGGGCTCCCGGGCTCGCTATGCTCCCAGCTCTGGGCCCTGGTAGGTCACCGCCAGTCCTGTCCTCCTTGAGAGCAGAGTCCCTTTGGCTGTGAGTGCCTCACCCTGAGCACAGCAGGCTTCATGAAGGTCGTCACCTGCAGAGTCCTTGGGGCTGCCATGACAGTGATCATACATTTATTTGCCGACAGCTCTGGAGGTCAGGAGCCTCACGTGGGCCTCATGGGACTAAACTCATGTGTGGCAGGCTGGCTCCTTTTTGAGGCTTCAGGGGAGAATCATTTCCAGCCGTTTCCAGCTTCTAGAGGTCCTGCATCCTGGGCTTGTGGCTCCTTCCTCCATCGTCAGCATCTCTCTGACCCTTCACCTGGAAAGGCCTCTGCTTTCAGGGACCCCTGTTAGTACATTGGGTCCACCCAGCCCATCTTCACTAACCCACTCCCATCTGCAAAGTCATGTTGCCATGTCAGGTTCCACATTCACAGGTCCCAGAACCAGGACATAAGTGTTTCTGGAGGCCATGATTCTGCTGACCACACGCCCATCTTGGCCCCCAGTTAAAATGCCACTGAAGACACATTTCGTCTGCCTCCCACCCTGCCCTGTCACCTGTCAGGAAATTCCCCCAGCACTGGCCCTTGGTGGTGGAAGGGTGTTCTGGGCCCTCTAGGCCCCTCTGGCTCTTGCATTCCACTCAAGTGACTGCTCGTTTATGGTTCGTTGTTTGTCTTTGCTTTTAAAAAATTCTATAAATTGTATATTTTCTCTGTAGAAATATATAAAACTTACATATCTGAAAGGAAAACAAATCCTGCCTCTTCTCCCCCACCCCTTGGGAAAGACATGTCTCTCCTCCACCTCAAGCTAATTCCAGAAGGTGCTTTGAGCACCTGCAGAACCCAGGGGGTGGGGGTGAGGGAGGGGGTGGGGGTGGGGATTCCCCCAAGGCTTGGGTATGATGGGTTTCCTGCCATCTGGCAGTGGTTTGAACTTGAACAAAGCCTGTGTTCTTTTGGGGAAGGCCAGAGGGGTTTCTCCCACCTCCAGTCAGCTCCTGCCTGGGTCAGGGGGCTCGCAGGAGGATGCATGGCTGCTGGCCTCTGTTATGACCAGTAGTTTCTTTCTCCTCACAGAAGACAGGAGGGGCAAGCTTCGGCCAGCCAAGGCCAAGAGCGACCGGAAAAAGAAGAGCCCCCTGCACCCTCACCACCCACTCCTGCCCCAGCTGCCGTCACCCCTGCCCACACAGTTCCCCACAGAGGAGGTGCCGCCACCCCCGCTGGAGCCCCCGGTGCTGACCCCTGGCCCTGAAGTCACTGAGGAGAGCCCCTTGCCACCACCCCTCAATGTTGTGCCTCCTGAGGCACCTGGCGAGGAGTTGGAGCTGAAGCCACGCCCCATTATCCCCATGTTGTATGTGGTGCCATGGGCCAACCAAGCCACATGTGACAAGGGCCGAGTGTCCTGCCAGCAGGCCTCTGAGCACTTTTCCCAGAAAGGCCCCACCTGGAAGGAGCCGATCGCCCCCATGGAGCTGGCGGGGCCTGAAGAGGAGAGTGGAGCCAGCGAAGTACAGGTAGGATGCCCTTGAGGGTCCCTGGGGCCGGGGATCCTGCTTGTCTTTGTGCGTTGGTCACAGCGTCCCTGCTCATGAAACAGCCACCATGGCTCATCACAAGCCTGCAGCATATGTGTGGCCCCGCTGCGCTGAACTCTGCTTCCATCTCTGAGTCATGTCTCAAAGACACTTCGTGTCCTCTGTTTCAGGCGACATCAACATTTTCCAAGTTGAAGATGGAGATCAAGAAGAGCCGGCGCCACCCTCTGGGCAAGCCGCCGACCCGGTCCCCTCTGTCAGTGGTCAAGCAGGAGGCATCCAGTGATGAGGGTGAGTGAGGATGCTGTCCCCTGACTGCTCAGGCTCCAGGCTTTGTTTAAGTCCTCCTCTCTCACCCAGCACCTCCCCAGGGCCTCCCTCTGCCACCTGCCCCACTGGTTACCCCTCGAACCCTGCTCCCCCCCCACACAGCCCTCCTGCTCAGCCTGCAGGGACTCCCTGCAGGACTCCCCTCGGCTCTGTTTCCCTCGGTCCTATTTGCTCTATTTCCACTGTGGGGTGCTTACTCATGCTGGGCCCAAAGCCTGCATGTTGAACGCGGTCCACAAGGAACAGGCTGCAGCCTGCCTGGGCTCCTATCCTAACCCGGGACCATGAGTGCCATTTACCTGCCTGTGACTTGGTAAAATGGAGGCTGCTGGCCCTCCCAGCAGTCATGCCAGGAAGGTGCATGGAGCTGAGGTGGCATCATTACTGTTGTGGCTATCATTGCATTTGATCCCAGGGCTTGCCCACTCTGATGACCTCCACCCCTTCCTCTAAGTGGACAGTCGAAGCCCGCCCCCACCCCTTGGCCACAGCTCCCATGACCCCTGTGCATTGAGGATCCTGTCATCCTCTCGGGGCCCCCGGATCTGCTCAGATGGGGCTTCCAGAACATTCACAGAGCAGCAAATAGGTGAATGAGTGGAAGGAAGCACCCAGCCCGGTGTGCCACTGGCATCCTGTGCGAGCAAAGGGAAAGTGGGGCTGAGATCGTGCTGATTTCCAAGTGCATTTCCAGCAGAACGTCCTGGCTCTGCAGTCCCCTTGCCCATCTGTGGAAACAGCATTGCCTTGAGGTGCAGGGAGGCAGCCCCTATTTGCCGTGTGACCAGAGGAAACCTTTGCTCCACCGCTCCCCAGGCAGGCAGCTGTTGTTAGAGATACCCAGGGCTTCAACCTATGGCTGGCCATGGGTGGGTGAGGTAACACAGGGCTGGGGAGCCACCAGATGAACTAAAATGACTCTTCCTGCTGTGGAGCCAGCTGTGGGCCTTGGAGAGGTTGGAACAGTGGGCTGTGGAGCTGGAGCCAGCAGTGGAGGCTGGGAGAGGAGAAGCTTGTGTTTACCACTCGGCTGAGAGCTGCTGTCTCGTGGGCAGAAACACTCGGAAGCCAATTTTTCATCTTCTGCTTTAGCCTTCTGCTTGAGATGCAGGTGGAATTTGAAAATCGTCTGGATGGCTTCTTTTATTCTGAATCTAATTTGAGGGCAAGGATGGGGAGGGTTCAAGAAGCTCCGTGGATCTTAGGGCTGAGCTCCTAGGAGTGGAACAGATCTCAAGGGAGATGAAGTGTGCCCTGAATCCCTCCAGGCGGCCTCGGCCTTAGTTGGGAGGGATTCAGCCTGTGTATCAGCCATGCTGGCCCAGCTGCTGTGATGGTTGGGGTCTCAGGACTGAGCATCGGCTTCTGGGCAGGCTCCCCAGGGAGCACTATATCTCAATGTTCAGAAAACCCACCAATGTGACCTTGGGGGATGGGAATGGGAATGGAGGCCACCAGGCGATGACAGGCAGGGGCAGAAGAAATGCCCACTAGTGGCCTCCATCTTACCTTAATACTTGTAGGTCTTTCTGATGACACCACCCCCTTCCTGACTCCCAGCCACACTTCTCTCTTGGCTCCTTTGAGCTCAAGAGTTTGCACCTGACTTGCCAGGGTCTGACCCAGCCCATCTCCCACCCACAGACAGAATCAGTACCCCCTGGCCTGGTGGCCTCTCTGCAGACAGGCTCAGAGCTGTATAAGTGGGGACCGTCACCATGAATGCTCTCAGCACTAAAACGCCTGCCTTTTGAGGCAGGGGATGGATCCTCGGGTGTGGTTTAACCTTTTCCCCTCTTCCCCTTTATTCTAGAAGTCTTTCCTTTCTCTGGGGAGGAGGACATGAGTGACCCCGAGGCCTTGAGGTCCCTGCTGTCCTTGCAGTGGAAGAACAAGGCAGCCAGCTTCCAGGCTGAGAGGAAGTTCAACGCGGTGGCTGCTCTGACCGAGCCCTACTGCGCCATCTGCACCCTCTTCTACCCGTACAGCCAGGTGAGCAAGGGCCACACAGGGCCCGGGCAGTGTGTCTGCTCCCCTCCGTGCCAGTGTTTGCTCTGCTCAAGAGGAACTCTGGGGCGGGTGAAGGAGAACCCATTTGCTGTAGGAGCCACCGTGAGATCTGCTGAGAGCCTGGAGGATGGGGTGGGACAGTCACATTACCACAGGTGAAGCCCTTGGCAGGGCAGGGTGTGCTGAAGCCTGCCTTGTGAGGGCTATAGGGACAGGGCCCAGTTTCTGAGTTTTATCTGAAGGTGACTTTTCAGTGGGCATAAAAATGTAGTATTAGCCGTGGCTGGTTTGGTTCAGCGGTTAGAGCGTCGGCCTGTGGTCCAGAGAGACCCGGGTTCAGTTCCCGCTAAGGGCACGTACCTCGGTTGCAGTTTGTCCCCGGCCCTGGTTGGGTCATGCGGGTGGCAACCGCTCAATGTGTCCCTTTCACGTCGATGTTTCTCTTTCTCTCCCTCCCTCCCACTCTATCTGAACAAAATATGGAAAAAGTGTCCTCGGGTGACTTAAAAAAAAAACTGGTATCAGACAGAAGGGTGGTGGGTGGCATGGAGGTGCCATGACCACTGTCATCAGGTAGTTCCTCATTGGCTCAGGCTAGAGGCCAGGAGTGGGTGGTGGTGACCAGCCAAGTCCCAGAGGTGGACTGGGGCCAGGGTAGACTCCCCCATGACCCTTACGGGTCTCCACTGAGCCAGGCGCAGTGTCCTGCACACTTTCCAGACTGGGTTCCCTTCTGTCCCGCTTCCCACGTTGGGAGCCTGGCCTCTCCCTGCACTCTGTCCTGTGCCATCAGCCTGCCCAGCTTCCCATTTCACCTTTTATTTCATCCCCTTGTCCCCCTCCTCTGTCCTGACCATTGCCTGCCTTCCAGCCTTTTTCTCCCCCACAGACCTCCTGTCCTTCCTGTTAGTGCCTCACTGTGGCCAAAACAAGTGTTTGGGAGCCTGCTCCATCCGTATACTCCCTGGCTGGAGACTCTGCCAGGCTCACCATGGCCTTCAGCCTGGCCACATGCCCCCATGACCTTCCTCAGTTGTGACATCTGCCCCTCCCCTCTCCCACCCCACACAGCAGCAGTGTGCTCTGTGATATCTCCCACCCACCCACCCGCCTGTCTTCCAGACAGATTTTTGTTCATTCCTTGAGTTCACTCATCTGCCACCTCTTCTAGGAAGCCTTCCCAGACCTGCTGTGTCCAGGCTGGCTCTGGAGTGACCCACCCTGGGCTCTCCCACCCTCCTCTGCTCTTATTCCTGCCTCTGTGTTTATCAAGGATTGTGAATCCCTAAAGGACAGAGCCAGGTCTTGCTTGCTTTTTCGAGCCCCCTACTCCTAGCCTTGTGCCTGGTGCTTTCTACATGTTAGCTGAGCTGCCCTGAGATCTGTGCCTATGCCTGTGCCAAGGGTGTTCCCATCTCCAGAGCTACCTGGACCCACTGCCTATAGGCAGATTCAACGTCTGGAGGAGGAAACAAGTAATATTCAGATTTCCTCTATAGGCACATCCCTCCTCCATGCTGCTGGAGAGGCTGCTGGGAGTCAGAGTGCTGGGACCTCCAAATTCAGATGGGAATCTTTTTATTGTTGTTGTTAATCCTCACTTGACGATATTTTTCCATTGATTTTTATATAGAGTAGAAGGGAGGGGGAGAGAGACAGAGACAGAGAGACATTGATTGGTTGCCTCCTGCACAACCCTGACCAGCGCCAGGGATCAAACCTGCAACCCAGGTATGTGTCCTTGACCAGGATCGAACCCTTGACCCTTCAGTCTGAGGGCTGATGCTCTAACCACTGGGCTAAACTGACCAAGGCCAGGTATGAATTTTTGCTGTTAAGCGAAGAGTCATGACTAACTTTTATCAGCTCACAGTTCTGGTGGGCTTTGTAGGCCAACTGCTTCCAAAACCCAGAGCCCTGAGACTTGGGGACCAGGTCTACTGGTCCTCGCTGTAAGCAGGGATGTGGCTGGACATTCTACCTGTTTGGAAACAAAGACATTCTCAATTAGTGGGGGCAGCTTGGTGGGGAGGGGTACTGATGTGAGGCTCTGATTTCAAAGCTGGTCCCCTGATCTGAGGTGCCATCATCCTCCTGACACCTAGCCTGGGAGGCCAAAGTTCCCTTAGTGGCGCTCTTTCCTCCTGGGTCAGGAGCAGGGGCATATCATCCTGTCACACCTTGGAGGGCCTCGGGAGGCTCTTTTAGGAGCCCCACTGACCTGAGACAGGCCTGGGGTGCTGGATCCTGGTGCCTTGGGCAGGGCGATTTCACCACATTCTCTTCATGTGATGAGATCTGGAGAGCTCATTGAGGATTGGGTACAACCATCACAGGGTACATATTGGAGATGGGGGAACACCCACATAGGTACACAGATAACATGGCATCAGGTGATGATCAGGACCACAAAGACAGCATGATAACGGGCTGGGGCTGCCAGTATGTGGGCAGAGCAGGGTCCAGAACAGAGATCTGAGTGCTCCAGGCAGGGGAGGAACAGTGTGTGCAAAGACCCTGGGGTAGGACGGTGCCTAGCATCTGGGGAGTTGGAGGAAGAGCAAGGCCTATGTTGCTAATGCAGTGGGTAAGGGGCAGTGAGGCAAGAGGGTGAGGAGAGCAGGGTGGTGGTGCTGCTGCGTCCAGATGTGACCCTAATGGAGGGTTTTTTTTAAATTCTCACCCGAGGACATTTTCCATTTTTTATTCAGATAGAGCGGGAGGTAGAGAGAGAGAGAGAGAAACATCGACGTGAAAGGGACACTTCAAGTGGCTGCCACCTGCACGACCCAACCAGGGCCGGGGACAAACCGCAACAGAAGTACATGCCCTTAGCAGGGACCGAACCCAAGTCTCTCTGGACCGCAGGCCGACGCTCTAGCTGCTGAGCCAAACCGGCCAGGGCATAATGGAGGGTATTTATTGGGGGCAAGAAAGGATCTAACTGGGTTTAGGGGAGCAGTGTTGAGGGCTGGGAGTGTGAGGTTGGTGCGCTAGGGAAGCCCTTCCGGGCCTGCTACAGGTGTCCTGGTAGGAGGCCCCAGTGCAGCCCCTGGGAAGGTGGGAGGCAGTCTAGGGCTGTGTTTGGATATAGAAGCCACATGAGGGTCAGACCGAGGGAGGTGGCAAGGATGGTCCCAAAGCCTGGTTTAATAATGACAGGTGACCCTGTGCCGGGCTCTCCACTGAAGGCAACCCCCTTCTGCAGTCCCTACAGATGGAGAAGGAGGCCCCACAGGCCTCCCTAGGGGAGGGCCCTTCTATACCACCTTCCAAGTGTGGCCAGAAGACACGGCCACTGATCCCTGAGATGTGCTTCACCTCCAGCGCTGAGAACACAGAGCCACTCCCCGCCAACTCCTACATCGGTGATGACGGGACCAGCCTGCTGATCGCCTGTGCCAAGTGCTGCCTGCAGGTCCATGCCAGTGAGTCCCGGATGACAGGCAGGCAGCCCCTGCTTGCCCTCCTAGGACGGCCGCCCTCACTTCTGTGGAGCAGGGAGTCCCTTCCCCTGGGCTGCTGTTTCGGGGCTATCCACAGGACCTGGTGTCATGGGGCGGGGTCCTGGCCTTCAAGGGCAGACTTCCTGCCCTTCCCCCTGGCCAAGGTGGGTCTGCCTGGTCAGCCTTCTTCTGGACAGTTCTGCTGAACCCTGTCTTGCCCTCAGGGGCCTGGGAGGTGGCAAGAAGAGATTAGGTGCTTGTCAGGTACCATCATGAATTTAGACTCTACTTTGGGGACAGAGTTGATCATAAAGTTGCGACTCTAGATTGCTTCTGGGTTTGATTTGTCTCTGCTGTCAGCGACCACCATCTCCCAAACCGTGAAGCCCAGCCCATAGCCCAAGGAGACAGGAGAATGGACATCTGCCCCCTTCTTGGGCATCAGGGTGGGAAATGGGAGATTGAGCTCCCAGGAAGAAAGCCTTCTGGAGCCATTTAATTTTGTGTGTTCCCCGCCCTACAGAGGAAGGCAGCTGTAGGACTCTGTCCCTCATCTGTCCCCACAGAGGCTACTTGGGGGTCATTTTGTCTCCTGTCGGGAGCCTGTTGGCTCAGCCTTGCTGGGCCTGGTGTGAGATGCACTCCAGGGCAGGCTCCCGGGGACCGCTCTAGAGGGGGAGAGGCACCTCACTCACTGACCTCTCTGCTTTCTCCCTATTTCTGAACCATGACCACATTCCAAAGCAAATCACCTTGGTGACTCAGAACATCTGACTTGTGGTTTCAGAAGTAGCTATTCTCATGAACACTGGGCTGACCTGCCCATTCCCGCTGATCCGAGCCCCAGCGTCCATGAGGCCGACTTTGCATGTCATACAACTTCTTGATCACTTTCCTAGGGTCTCAGCTCAGCAGAGGTTGGGAGGGGGGCAGTGAGGGGTCCCTGCTCCCCTTCCCAGCATCTGTCTCCAGACCTTTCTCCTGCTGTGTGTGCTGTAGCCTGGACTGAGGTGGAGAGGGAGGTGAGAGCGGTTACCCTCAGTGCCGAGGCTGGATTCCAGAAGGCCCTGCCAGCTTTGTGTGAAGCTGCAGTAACAGATGCGCCTGACTCACCGTCCTCTGCTGCCTTCCAGGTTGCTACGGCATCCGCCCGGAGCTGGTCAACGAAGGCTGGACGTGTTCCAGGTGCACGGCCCACGCCTGGACTGCGGTAACTTACCCCTGCAGCTGGGGTGGTATTCTAACAGACGTCCAGCCCCATGGGGGACCAGGCCTGGGCCCTGGGTTTGCCCGATCCCACAGAGTGACCCTGGGCTGGCAGCCTCACCTCCATGCGTCTTGGTTTCTTCATCTTTGCAGTGAGGGGGTGGAACCCGAGGGGGAGGATGGTGGCCCCTCCTTTTGGTGGCTGCTAGTCTGAAATGTAAGGATCTAGGGCAGGGGTCTTGGAGCAGGCCCAGAGCAGTATGGGAGCAGCCCTTCCCTGCGTCTCCCTCACTGTGGGCTTGTATGTTCCCTGCAGGAGTGCTGCCTGTGCAACCTTCGGGGAGGAGCTTTGCAGATGACAACCGACAGGAGGTGGGTAGAAGGGGTGCCATTCCTCCTGGGTATGTTTCCTGAGGGGTATTGACTCCTCCTCAGGGCCTCGAGTTGAGGTGAGGAGACTAGGAGGACCAAACAATTACTCAGACTATCCCTTAAGGTCCTGCCCAGCCAGCCCAGCATTGTGGACAGGGGTAGTGCCCGTGGAGTGACATGACACAGGGGAAGGAGGAGGCAGGGGGCACCCATGACCTCTGACCCTACTCCTTCCCCTCCTCCCCAGGTGGATCCATGTGATCTGTGCCATAGCAGTTCCGGAAGTTCGGTTCCTAAACGTGATGGAGCGCCACCCTGTGGACATCAGCGCCATCCCTGAGCAGAGATGGAAGCTGGTAGGACCCCTGGATCTTGTCCTGCGTGGGAGGGAAGCCAGATGCCATCCATTGCAGTTAGGCCAAGCCTATTCTTTTTTTTTTTTCCATCCTCACCCGAGGACATTTTTCCATTTTTTATTCAGGTAGAGTGGGGGGGGGAGAGAGGAACAGAGAGAGAGAGAAACATCGACGTGAAAGGGACACATCGAGTGGCTGCTACCCGCACAACCGACCAGGGCCGGGGACAAACTGCAACCGAGGTACATGCCCTTAGCGGGAACCGAACCCGGGTCTCTCAGGACTGCAGGCCGACGCTCTAACCGCTGAGCCAAACCGGCCAGGGCAAGCCTATTCTTGAATAGTCCCAAACTATTCTGCACAACGTACAGAAGTCAGAAGGCACTGAGGTACCCAGGGAAAAGCAAGCCTCCCCTCAGGTGCAGCGGGTTCCTGTCTCCTGGGTCTCTGTGGAGATATCCGTTACACACTTTGGAGGCATGCGAAGTTTCCATCTTTTTCATAATTGGGAAACTCACACACTCTGCCCTGTACTTTTCGTGCTACCTAACGGGCCCCTCTTGTTTTTTTTAAATTGTGATAAAAACACTTAGCATGAGATCTTCCTTCTGAACAACATTTTAAGTGAACAATATAGTATCATTCCCTGTAGGCATGATGTTGTGTGCCAGACCTCTGGAATGTACACACCATGTGTAACTGAAATCATATACCTGTTGACTAGCCCCCTCTCCCCCATTCCCGACCCCCGCAGCCTCTTGCGTCTCTGAGTCTGGCTTTTGCGGGGACTCTTTTGGCGGAGTCCTGCAGCTTGTCCTTCTGCGTCAGGTTTCTCTCACTGAACATAATGCTCTCAAGGTCCCTCTGTGTTGTCACAGATAGCAGGATTTCCTTCATTATCATGGCTGAATAATATTCCATTGTGTGGACGGGCGACATTTCTTTATCGGTTTATCCATCAGTGGACACTTAGGGTGTTTCCCTGTCTTGGCTGTTGTGAATAATGCTGCAATGAACACAGTGTATACAGGGTGGAGCAAACCTAGGTTTACAGTTGTGAGCACACAAAACACAGTTTATTCTTGTATTATTATTATTATTGTATTATTTGCCATACGAGTAACTGTAAACCTACTTTTGCCCCACCCCGTATATCTCTTCAATATCCTATTTTCATTTCCTTTGCACATATACCAGAATTAGAATTGCTGGGTCTTATGTAAGCTGTTTTTAATTTTTTGAGGACCCTCCATGCTGTTTTCCATAGTGGCTGTGCCAGTTTACACCCCCACCGACAGTGCGTGAGGGTTCCCTTTTCTCCTAGCTCTTATCTTCTTGATAACCTGAGATAATACCTCATGGTGGTTTTGATTTGCATGTCCCTGGTGATTGGTGTACCTTTTCATGCACCTATTGGCCACCTGTTTGTCTTCTTTAGAGAAATATCTATTTAGATCCTTTGCTCCTTTTTATATTGTATTTTTGTTTATCCTCACCCAAGGATATTTTTCCATTGATTTTTAGATAGACTGGAAGGGAGGGAATGGGAGAGAGAGAGAGAGAAACATCGATTGATTGCTTCCTGTACAACCCTGACCAGGGCCAGGGATCTAACCTGCAACCCAGGAATGTGCCCTTGACCAGAATTGAATCTATTGGTTGTATTCCGCATGACCATGACCAGGCCCAGGGACCGAACTGCAGCCAAGGTCTGTGCCCTTGACCAGAATCGAACCTGCGACTCTTTGGTCCGTAGGCCAATGTTCTAACCCCTGAGCCAAACCAGCCAGGCTCCTTTGCTCATTTTTAAATTGTGTTGGGTGTTTGCTGTTGAGTTGTTGGAGTTTATAACTGGCCCCTCTTAGTTTATGTCAAGCTTCCCCCTCTAAGGAGCATGTGGCCCTCAGCCAGGGCACTCTTACTGATTATGGTCACCTCGGGGAACCTCTGTGGCAGCCAACAGTGTGGGCAGAGCGTAACCATTAGCATGCACTGGCTTCCAGTCCTTGCTCAACCGCCAGCCAGATGTGTGACTCCAGAGACACTCCTTGACTTCTCTGTGCCTCATTCTTCCCATCTTTGACACTCCTCTGCATGGTGCACATTGACTGGGCCTCACAGTAAAGTGGGATTATGCTGCCTGAGCACCAGTGCCTGCTCTCAGGCTTATCGCTGCTGTGAGTCCGTGGCAGCCATGCTGGAAGTGTCCCACTCAGGGACGTGGGGATGGCAGCTCTGGTGGGGACGTGTCATGTGGCACCCAGTAGCTGGGACTTTGGCTGTGCACCGAAGCATTCATGGCATCTTTTCCTGCGTGGTTTATTTTCCAGCTGCCTGGGGCAGACCTGGGGTATTGATGCTCCTCCAGGCCTACAGAGGGCAGAAGGCAGAGAACTTGGACTATGGGCAGCGGGCCCAGTGGGGAGTCCTGTGGAAGGAACAGGGACACCCACCTCAAACCCACAGGTGCTAGGCCACCAGGCAGGACTGAGTGGGCACTGGCCAAAGCCTGTGGGGGACAGAGACCCCAGTCATGGAGTATCAGGTGCAGACGGGCAATCAGGAAGAAGCTGGTGGCCGGCAAGTGATTATAGGCATAAAAGCTTCATCATTCAGGTGGAGTGATGGCACAGTGCACGGCCCGTAACCCAGCCTCCCCCCAGATGCTTTATGGAGCATCTAACATTTCCAGCTTGCAGCCTCTTCATTACCAGTACTTGTAACAATGAATTAAAAATCCTTTTACACGAGGCTTGCTTGTACTGCTTAATGGAGCCATGCAAGGAAGCCAGTGGTTAACTCCTTCTTGCCCAGACATCCACCCACCTTTCCGGGGCCATGTACAGGCCACATGTTTGGGAACGGTCACCTCTGGTCACCATCCATCAATCTATTCCCAGTACTCCCTGCCCAGCGTCTCTGGTGCCTGGGGGTCTGGTGAGTCGGGCTGGCCCTATACTCATCCCCCTCACCAGACTGGGATGGGTCCTGGAAAAACCCAGACACGGGACAAGCCCTGTGCCCAGCTCCTGACAGATGGCATGGTGGGGGTCTGGCCCACATTCTTCCTGATGCAAAAACTCAGAATAATGAGCTGCCACCCTCTGGGGCAGGGGGATAGCTGTGCTGTGAGTCAGGCCCACCCTCTGGGGCAGGGGGATAGCTGTGCTGTGAGTCAGGCCCACCCTCTGGGGCAGGGGGATAGCTGTGCTGTGAGTCAGGCCCACCCTCTGGGGCAGGGGGTTAGCTGTGCTGTGAGTCAGGCCCACCCTCTGGGGCAGGGGGATAGCTGTGCTGTGAGTCAGGCCCACCCTCTGGGGCAGGGGGTTAGCTGTGCTGTGAGTCAGGCCCACCCTCTGGGGCAGGGGGTTAGCTGTGCTGTGAGTCAGGCCCACCCTCTGGGGCAGGGGGATAGCTGTGCTGTGAGTCAAGCCCACCCTCTGGGGCAGGGGGTTAGCTGTGCTGTGAGTCAGGCCCACCCTCTGGGGCAGGGGGATAGTTGTACGTTGAGTCAGGCCAGGCCGTTGGGTTTCTCCTGGGCCTCAGATGGGGCAGGTAACATGTGCGAGATCTCGAGCCCCGCTGGCTTCCAGCGGTGACAGCTCCCCATGGGACCTCAAGGCAGCTGCACTCGCCTCCACTGTGCGGAAGGTCCAGGACTCGGGGGTTAATGCTACATGGAGCATGCTGTATGTCAGTGCCTGTCCCACAGGCCGGCAGGAGAATTAGGTATTGACAGTTTAATAATGAGATCTCATTGCCATCGATCGGTTTGGCAGCTTCTGCAGCGCCCTTGGCCACAGTGCTTATCTGGCTTTTGAACATGGTTTACAGAGCAATAAAGGCCGCTTATTAAATGCTCAGAGTGATGGGCACCAGTGGGCCTGGTGACTGCTGAGCGGGGGCATGGGGGTGGCCCTGGATGCTGTCACTCCAGGCAGGGGGCATTCCCACCACAGGTCCCCGACAGGGGTGAAAGGCCTCACTCAGACCCTCCTCCTTATGAAGGAAGCTGCTCTGCAGTGCTTTTTATTCAAAATGCAAATGAACTATTTTTGAAGTGAGCAATTCAGTAACTTTTAGTACATTCACAGAGTTGTACAACTATTACCTCTAATTCCAGAGCATTCTATAACCCCCAAAAGAAACCCCTCAGCCTCACCCACCCCTGGCAACCCACTTCCTGTCTCTGGATCTGCCTGTTCTGAACAGTTCACATAAACGGAATCACACAGTGTCTGGCTTCTCACTGAGCGTTGTGTGTTCGGGGTCCCTCAGGTTGTAATGAGTGTCGGTGCTGCGTGCTCATTTTCTGGCTGATTGTATTCCTCTTGTGGCTCTTCGGTGCCTGTAGCAAGCACCTCTGCAGAGGGGTCAGTGTGGAAGAATCCTGGGTGCTCCTGGGGCTCGAGAGGGACCCGCAGGCCAGGTTAGTTAGGGGGGCTTTTCCCAGGGTGCCTCCAGCCAAGGCCAGGCTGCCAGGCCTCTACCTTCCATCCCTGGGTCTTGGGGGTCACTCCCAGGAGACAGTCTTAGGGTTCAGTGAGGAGGGCTTCTGGCACCAGGTGCCAGCATGAACCCCATTTCCTCCCCATGTCACCCCAGAAATGTGTGTACTGCCGGAAGCGGATGAAGAAGGTGTCCGGGGCCTGTATCCAGTGCTCCTGTGAGCACTGCTCCACCTCCTTCCACGTGACCTGTGCCCATGCCGCCGGAGTCCTCATGGAGCCAGATGACTGGCCCTACGTCGTCTCCATCACCTGCTTCAAGCACAAGTCGGGGAGCCACAGCGTGAGTGCCCAGCCCTTCCGCCCCCTCCCAGTCCCCACCCTCCCAAGCGCTGACACAGCCCTCTCCCCTCCCCCCAGGTCCAGTTCCTGAGGGCTGTGTCCTTAGGCCAGGTGGTCATCACCAAGAACCGCAACGGGCTTTACTACCGGTGCCGTGTAATCGGCACCACCACGCAGACCTTCTATGAAGTGAACTTTGATGACGGGTCCTACAGTGACAACCTGTACCCGGAGAGCATCATCGTGAGCTGTGGGCGGGCACAGGATTGGCAGGGGCTGCTGCTAGGAAGCCGGGAGGTGGCCCAATCCTTCCTAGGAGTCACCTGTGACCCCACTGGGCAGGTCCAGGCCATAGGGACCCTGCAGGGAAAGCACTGCCTGTTCCTGCAGAAACCGAGCGGAAGGCCTGTCAGTCTGGATGAGCCTATAGAAAGGGCAGCCTCCGGGGTGGACAGCTGTAGCCGTCTCCACCCCACCCGCTGCCCAGCACCCATCCTGTGTTCGCAGAGTGCCCACTGGCTCCCTTGCTCCAGTTATAGCACAGGCAGCCCAGCGTGGGGAGGGTCTAAGCCCGACAGCACCCGCTGCCTCACTGCCCACCGTGTTCTTGCCTCCAACAGAGCAGAGACTGTGCCCGGCTGGGACCCCCACCTGAGGGGGAGTTGGTTGAACTGCGGTGGACTGATGGCAACATCTACAAGGCCAAGTTCATTTCCTCTGTGACCAGTCACATCTATCAGGTGAGCAGGGTCCTGTCTTCCAGGTACAAGGCGTAGGCTTGGGTGGGGCCCTCAAGCGTCCTGATCGATCTTTGCCCACCTAAGCTAGACAGTCAGGGCTGATGATATTTTTAAGTAAGAAGAGGCCTCAAATTGTCTAATATTTTCCCCTTTACAGATGTTTCCTTTCTTTAAAAAAACTTTTTTTTCTTTATTGATTTTTAGAGAGAGAGGAGGTGAAAGGGACAGAGAAACATTGATGAGAGAGAACATCAATTGGCTGCCTCCTGCATGGCCCCCCTGGGAATCAGGCCCACAACCTGGGCATGTGCCCTGACCGGGAATTGAACCGGCAATCTCTTGGTGCATGGGTCGACGCTCAACCACTGAGCCACACCGGCTGGGCTACAAATGTTTTCTTAAATTTTTTTGTGTGGAAAGACATAGATAATACTAAATGTGCTGTTTTAACCATTTTTAAGCATGTAGTTCAATGCCTCTGATAAATTTTTTAATATGTTTTTATTGATTTTTACTTTAGAGAGAGAAGAAGGGAGAGAGAGAGAGAGAGAGAGAGAGAGAGAGAGAGAGAGAGAAACATTGATGTGAGAGAGAAACATCCATCGGCTACCTCCTGCATGCCTCCCACTGGGGATCGAGCCTGTGCCCTGACCGGGAATCAGACCGGGAATCGAACCGGGACCTCTCAGTCCATAGAACATTCCATCCACTGAGCCACACTGGCTGGGCATGATTTTTTTTATTTAATGAAGATGGTTATGAGTATCTTCCCATTATTATGGAAGGGAAATTGTTTACAAACGTGGAATCTTAGAAGAAAAATGATGCATGTCCCAGCAATCACAGATGATGGCTGCAGAGTCTTTGCTGTTTTGCTTTCTCCTACATTGTCTGCACCCTCCATCGCTTTTCATCATGTCCCTTTCCTCTGGCTGCCCTTAATTGATGAGTAGGGACACAAGGGAGCCGGCGGGGCACCCTGGGCCAGCACCCTTCTTGGAAGTTGAGGAGCGGGGGCCGTGGGTGGGGGCCTTGAGAGTCAGTCAGTGGCCTGGGACAGTCTGAGAGCTGTGCTCCTGGCAGGTGGAGTTTGAGGACGGGTCCCAGCTGACAGTGAAGCGCGGTGACATCTTTACCTTGGATGAGGAGCTTCCCAAGAGGGTCCGGTCGAGGCTGGTAAGTGGCTGCACAAGGTGGGCTGGGGAAGCCCTTAGTGATCGTGGGGTGTGGCCTTGACCTCCCAGCCTTCACCTCTGCTCCCACTGGGGAAACTGCAGGCAGCTTCCGGGAAGTGAGCGTGCTCTGAGGCTAGTGGGGGCACTTTGAAGGGCCATCCCAGGGACAGCAGCGAGGGGAGCTGGACTGCACCGGCCCGCGCACTGTGACGCGCCCCGCGCTTGGAGCACCTGCCGCCCGCGCACAGAATCTGAGCCCTGAGGTTGGCAGCGCAAAAAGAAACACTTTTCCAAAGCTCATCCCTTTTCAAAGGGAACAGTGAGTCCTGGAGGCGGGAAGCGACAGGACTTTTCTCCTGGCCTGTCACTGTTCTCTTTCTTTTGTGTTTAATCCAAAGACCCGTTCTGAGGAGCAGGCAGCGCGGCTGTGAGTGATAAGCCCCAAGTAAGAGCTGGTAGGGGTGGCACAGCTGACCTCAGACCCCAGGTTCCCTCGGACAGACAGGAGCTGCCAGACAGATGGTACCGCCACTCCTCATAGCCACCCATGGGACAGACCAGGCCTGGCCACCGCCCTTCTAGGGGCCAGTGACTGTCCTGCCTGCTGAGAGTCACACACAGGATTTGGGGTTTGCACAGAGACAGGAGCCCTGAGAAGTCGTCCCCAGGGACTGATGGTCCCTCTCAGAAGGTCATTAGGTGAGGGACAGTGCCCTTTGGCCCCCAGCAGGGCAGGCGCCCCAGCGGAGCCTCGCTTCCGTCGTGGGGCTGCTGTGGCAGAGCACCGCGGAAAACACCACCGCGACTTCTCAGTCCTGGCGGCAGGAAGCCCAGGCTCAAGGTGCTGGGAGATCTGGTGTCTGCTGAGACCCGCCTCCTGGTCACAGCCAGAGCCCTTCTGGTGTCCTTATGTGACAGAGCGAGAGGTGGGGAGAGAGGGAGGGAGAGCTCTCTGGGATCCTTTCTGTGAGGACACCGATCCCACTCATAATGGTCTCACTTCATGACCTGCCGCCCGAGCTCCATGGCTGGCCCTGCAGAAGGAAACACTTTTCCGAAGCTCATCCCTTTCCAAAGGGACGTGCGTCCTCACCCCTTCCCAAAGGCTCCCCCTCCTAACACTGTCACACTGGTGGGTAGAGCTTCAAACGGGAATTTGGGGGACACAAACCTTCAGTCCCTAACACCCCCTTCTGCACTAACTCCTGTGCCGTCTGGTCCCCCACAGTCGGTCAGCACCGGGGCGCCGCAGGAAAGCGTCTTCTCAGGAGAGGAGGTGAAGGCCGCCAAGCGCCCGCGGGTGGGCACCCCACGTGCCTCCGAGGACTCGGGGCGGAACCCAGACTACCTGGCCTTCATGGAGAACCTCCTGCAGGCTCAGTGTCAGCCCAGAGCCCCCTTCTAAGACAGCCAGCCAGCCGCCCAGTCACCCCTTGGCCCAGCAAAGCAGGCGGCAGCGGGCCCTGGCATTTGCTTGCTGTGAATTCCTGTCCTCGCCTCCCCGCCCTGAGAGGCTACCTCCATGCTCTGTGGGGACAGGAGCAAGCAGGACGCTGGTGGCCGGACTCAGGGAGTGGGGCCAAGCCGGCCTGGGGGCCACTGGGGCTCACGCCGCCCCCACTACTCAGATTCGTAAACCACGTAAAGCTCTTCTTCTTGAAAAGGTGCTACTGCGTTGCCTGCCTCCCGAGCAGCCTTTGAGATTGTGACTCCTGTACATAGATCACCTTTGTGCGGTTCTTTCTATGAATACCTGTTGTTTAAAAAACTCAAGAAAAAAAGGAAAACAAAGAGGAAAAGGTCCCTAAAGTTGTTTTCTAGATTTGTGGCTTTAAAAACAAAACAAAAAGTGTTCTTTTTATCAGAACCAAGACATGAGGGAGACAAAAGCATCTCATTTTTTTGTTTGTTGTTATTTTAAAATCTTACTCGTCTGTGAGCAGGTAGGGAAGCGCCATGAGGCCTGGAAGGGTGTGGCGGGGGCAGGACACCCAGCGACAGGCCCTGTCACTCTGCTCTCTCCCGGACTTCAGGAAGGTCTGAGCAGCTGGCATCCCGGTCCCCACCAGCGTCCACAGTGCCGGTCTCTCTGCGGCTGGCAGGAGGGGGACAGGAGGAGGCTGGAGCACCTTTCGGTGGCCGAGTGCTGGCCACGGGTGTCTGGGAGCCTCCCTCCTATCTGCGAGCGCCTTTGCAAAATAAACAATCTCTTCTGGTTTGTTCCATTTTTTTGCTTCTTCCCCGTGAGAACCATTCCACAGCTGAGGCCTGCAGTATGCAGGAGGGCTCTGTGCAGACTGAGTGTCCCTGGTCCTGCCAGGCGTCCCTCAGCTGCTCAGGGGGAGGGAGCCCCATGAGCCTGGGTGACCTGCAGCCCAAGCAGGTGAGCACCTGGCTTCTTGGGGATGGAGGACAGAGCCAAATCAGGCCTTCCAGATAGCCCGGGTCCAGTGTTCCCTGCTCGGGGAGGCCTGTGGCCCCGGGTTCAGGTGCCCCTGCTTGGACTGGGCTTCCTGGGAGAGGTGGAGGATTCCACCTGCAGGAATCTGCCTCCTAAGAGCTGTGGGCTGAGGTTAGGAGAGAAGAAACAGGATTTTCTTGTGAGCTGGGGAAGGACACCGCCAGCCTGCTCTCTCCGTCTGCTTCCCTCGCTCTCCCCTGCAGAAGGATCGAGAGCGTCATTTGAGTATATAAAATTTTTTTAATTAAAAAAAAAAAAGTGTTCTAACAGTTACCAGGCCAGAGAGAACTATTTAAGGAAAATGGAGAGTATGTAAATGAGCCAAGAACCTTTCATTTCCTTGGTGGGGGGAGGAGGGCAGTGCCGAGTGGGCGGGGCGGGGAGGGACTGAGGGGAGTCAACTGAAATGTGGGGGTCCCCTCTGCATGCAGCAGCCCTGCCTGGTGGCGCCGTCACTGTATTCATATGTAGTTTGAAAATGCTATTTATATTGTAAAGAAAATAAAAAGAAGCAGGCAGATGCTCCTGTGGCCCTTGGGGTCCTAGGGGGTCCAAGGGATAGCCAGCCCCGTGGCGGGGTCTCTGGGTCACACCCTGTCATAGGTTCCGGATGACTTGCGCTGACAGGTCTCCGCACAGCAAAGGGGAAACACACACTTCCCCACAGAGAAAATCTGTGTCTATGTGCAGAAACAAAAACCCACCCACCCTGACTTTTTTCTGACCCAAGATTAAGGATGTGCTGTATTTTTGCCTAATTTCCCTGCCTCTAGGTTCATAATGAATTAAAGGCTCATGAGCACTGCGATTACAGGTTCCTGTCCTTGGTGTCTTCATTTCTGAGTGGTGCCTGGGGGGAGCTCCCTCAGGGAACAGATGGGGCCTCCTGGGTCGTGGCACTGGTCAGCGGATGGCCTCGCCCATCGGTGGTTCCCAGCCCCAGGGTGGAGGGGGACCCTTCCTGAGCTGATGTCCACAGCTTGTATCTGCACAGGCTCCGCCCCGTCTCAGGCAGGTGGTGGCAGAGGTGGCTGTGCAGTGGGGCCGTCTACAAGACAAGGAAGGACCCTCTGTCTTTGACCCCTCTCGTCTGGAAAAACAGCCATGCTCTCCTACCGTCTTCTCAGACTCTGCCAGTTCCTGTGACATCTGAGTGGTGGGTGTCTATTGGGCATGAGACAGTGGGGTCTCCCGGCCTGGGATGAGCCTGGGCCCCTGGAACTCATGAATGTGTCATTCATTTAACAAGTCCTGGGAAACAGCGCCATGCAGCAGGTCTGATCCCCGCCCTCGAGCTGACACCAGAGGCAGACAGTGAGTAGAATGTGTGGGATGTCAGCCGGATATAAAGAACACGGGAGCGTGGTAGGATATTCTGTTAATGGTGTCATATTTTACACAGGAGTCAGAAGGAGATGAGAAAGTGAGCCATGGGGACAGCCCATGCAAAGGTCCTGAGGCAGGACTGTGCCTGACATGTTGAAGGAGCAGTCAAGAGGCCTGTGTGGCTGGAACAGAGGGAGCAAGGAGGAGAGAGGGAGGAGGTGAGGGCAGGGAGGGGAGGGGGCAGATCATGCAAGGTCTTATGGGCCTCCGGGAGGACTTGGTCTTTTATCCCAAGGTAGGAGCCTTGGAGGGTGGTGGACTGAGGGACCTGGTTCTGATGCTCACAGATGCCTTCTGGCTGCTGCAGGGAGGGGAGCCTGGGGGACGAGATCCAGGTGGAGGCAACGGCATTGAGTACCTTGAAAGATGACATTGCCAAGGGCGGGGATGGGGCAGGCTGGGGTGGGAGGGCTCAGCAGCCTAGATTGAACACAGTCCCCCCGAGAAGAGTCACGGGTGATATATTCACTGGACTGGTGAGAAGGGGACTGAGGACTGGGCCCAGAGTGTGCAGGATGGCGAGGAGAAGCAACCAGTGGCGGGGGTACCCTTCTCTGAACCTCAGTTTTTTCTCTGCAGAACGGGTGTCGTTGCAGGTAATTGTGTCCTGGACAGAGATTTTCTTTGATAAGATTTCCGTCCAGCCACAGCCGCCCTCGCCCCACTTCTCAGTCCCTCCTTTTCAGAGAGAAGCTGCCTTCATCAGCACTGGGACTCAGTTTCCCCGTTTGCTACAGGAGCCCTCTGTATCACTGACTAGGCAGGTCGTTATCCTCTGAACCTGCCCAGAGCGTGGTGGACACATTCAGTGCTCAGCCCCGGGGTGGGGGCACAGACAGCTGACCTCCGTGATGGCGGCAGGTGGCCCACCCTTACCACCGTTCCCTGGAACACTGGTGAACGGGAGGTGTCTGGACAGGTCTGCAGCCAGGGCCACGGCACGGCTGGGTCCCTAAATGTGCGGCCACATGGAGCCAGTGGGGAGTTTCACTCCAGGCACCGGCCCTGTGCTCAGCACTGGAGTGTGACTCGTTGATTCAGGCTGCAGTATTTCCTACACAACTGCCCTGTGCCAGGCCAGAGGAGATGGCGGAACAAAAGGCGTTGTCATTGTCATTGTTTTTGTGGGGTTTAGAGTTCAGGAAAGCAGGCAGAGGATGGAAACATCAGGGACCATAAATACAGCTCTGACATGCCCTGACAGACAGACAAGAACAGGGGTAGAGCCTGGCGGATAGGATGTTGGGGAGACTTCTAAGCAGGTGAGGTTGAAATGGATCCAGCCCCTCAAGGGGTGTCCTATCATAAAGACTCGAGGGGCCAGGGGCATGTTGTGCTGAGTGCCCCGATCCTCCTAGGGCAAGGCCCAGCCACCTGAAGCCCTCTGGCCAAATCTAGCCCTCCACTTATTTTTATAAATAAAGTTTTATTGACTTAGCCACGCCCATTCACTTAGGAGTCATCTAAGGCGGCTTTCACTCTACAACAGCAGAGCTGAGCAGGAGTAGGGAGGTCCCTGGCCCCACAGTCAGGCCTGTTCAGCAGCTGGCCCTTTACAGGAAAACATGGTGCTCACCCCAGACCTCGAGTGAGAGCTGGCAGCCCACACCTACGCCACACCTCTGACAAAACCATCCTCCCGTGGGGCAGCCCAGTGTCCAGATCCACCATGTCTCTCAAAGCTCCAGTGAGGCCCCTAGTTCCCAGCACACTCCCCCCGCACCCCCTCCCAGGAAGCACGGCAGAGAGAGACTGACCAGGGACCCTCCCTCCGTCTGTCCGTCCACTGGGGGCTCTGCCCTTCACAGCTCAGGCAGCTGCTCACCCTGCCGATTGCTGGCTGGAGAACCAAACACGCCTAGTGGCCACCCCTGCAGACTACCCCACCTCCAGGTGACCCCCTCAGCCGGTGCAGAAGAAGACTCGGGTCTCTGTTGGCCTCCGCAGTCCGGGTGTTCATGGCTTTTATCTGTGTGTCTGCACCCCACCCCGCTCCCCGTCTCCCCTGTGCCTTCTCCCCCAGGGCACCCTTGCCCCAGTGAGACCCCGTGGGGAGCTCTGCACCCTCCCCCGGGCATGTTACTTCGGGTTAGATTTACTTAGCAGTGTGCTCTGTTGTAGAGAATAAGAAGCACGTGCTGCCAGGGCGGCAGGCAGGTGCCAGGGCGGCCGGGGGCCGAGGCAGGGCAGAGGGAGCCTCTGGGGGCCTGGTGTCTCCTCAAGGCGGCATCCCTCCTGCTCTCACCAGGTGACAGGGACAGATGACTCCCCTCCCAGCAGCTTCCTGGGGTGTTGGGGGAGGGGCCAGCCAGGGGCCTCTGTCCCCAACTCACCCCCCCTGACTGCAGCAGTCTATTTACTTTAGAAACAAAACACAAAAAGTGGTTGCAAAACGGGGCATTTGGAAATAGCTTATGTGGCACTGGCCCTTCTTCGTGGCCTCTGTGGGCCCCCAGACACTGCTCTTTTGCCCCCATATTTATTTCAAAGGACCACCAACTGGTGGCTTACAGTAGCAGACATTTATCCTCTCTGGTCCTAGAGGCCAGAAGTGGCGATGAAATCAGGTGTCACGGGGCCGAGCCCCCTCCGGAGGCTGCGGGAGAGGGTGCTCCCTGCCTCCTGCGTCCGCCTCTGTCTGCACGCGCCTCTCCCTGTGTCTGCAGCCTCTTCTCAGTCTCCTGGTCGCTCAGCCTTCCTCTCGTAAAGACACCAGTCACTGCACTTAGGGTCCTCCCGAAGAATCCACAACGTTCTCTTCATCTCAGGACCCTTGACTTAATCACATCTGTCTGCAAAGACATTTTTTTCCAGATAAGGTCATAGTCCCAGGTTCTAGGAATTAGGACCTGCCACACCATTTTGGGGGCGCCCAGTCAGGCCACTCCAGCATCCTTCCTGCATCACGGACCTGATGACCCCTGGTGGGACTGCCTGGTCCCACGACTGTCCCCCAACTTGACCATGAGCCCCTTGAGCATAAAGACAAAGTCTCAGTCCCCTTGGCATCTGCTGTCCACAGCCCGGGCCTGCAGGTGGCCCTGGGGTTGGTGACAGTCCTGAAGAGCCTAAGGTGGTTGGTTATCTACAGGGGCTGCTGAGAAAGGGCTTAGCCCTGGCCAGTTTGGCTCAGCAGTTAGAGCATCGGCCCACGGACCAGAGAGACTCGGGTTCGGTTCCCACTAAGGGCACGTACCTCGGTTTCAGTTTGTCCCGGCCCTGGTTGGGTTGTGTGGGTGGCAGCCACTCGATGTGTCTCTCTCACATTGATGTTTCTGTCTCTCTCTCTCCTTCCCTCTCTCCCTCCTGCTCTATCTGAAGATAAAGGCAAAAAATGTCCTCGGGTGAGGATTAAAAAAAAAAAAAAGAATGGGAGTGGGGACAGAGGAGCAGGGGTGAAGAGGTGGGCTCTGAGCATACCTTCTGGAATCGTTCTCTTACAATCAAGGTCTTGTTTCACGTTCCTCCAACCACAGCTACTTAAAATCACCCAGGGTGTGGTGGCAACCCCAGATAGAAAACAGTAATGTGTGAACCCCACTGAGCTACAAAGAGGGAGAGAGGAGAGAAGCGGATATAAGCGACTTGGAAACAGTGTTTAGACTGGATACTGTTAGGCTACAAACAAAGATACCTATACACCAACGCTGTCCCCAAGTTAGAGCAACTGGTTCTCGCAGCCATTCTGCGTGTGCACACTGGGGTCGAACAAGTGAGTCAGTGAACTGTAGATGATGGAGCCAGGTTGCTCTGAGTCAGAGAGAAAAATTACAAATGAGTCAAGGGGGTGGGAAGCTGGAATGAAATGTGTGTTGGGTTGGAATCAGAAGTGACAATATTAATTCATGGTTTTTAATACATAGAAAGATTTTACAGACAGAGATATATAGTCTGACAGGAAGATCGAGGCCGTTGTAAGTACAGATTTGTGTGT